ATATGTATCTGGTCAAAGCATGTCATCAATTATTATAAGAGTTACCTCGTTAGTAATATTGGGGTTACTTGGTCAGTGTTATAGTGGTTACTCAATCAATGTTATAGAAAGGGATGATGACTTAGTCGGTGTTAGAGGTTGCTCAATTAGTATTACAGGGGTTATTGGGTTAGTTTTATAGGGGTTATTACTTTGTTCGGTCAGATGATGTGGCTAGCCGCATACAAAATATATTGCTATTAATTTTATTTAATTAAAAATAGAGAGTCAGTAAAAAGAAAAAGTTTTACTCAATAAAAATAATTTTAATTTGGTAAAAATTGGCAAATGAGATTTTAAAGTTTAAATTAATTAAATATAAAGTATTATATTTTGAATTAAAAATTTTATCCGAATATATATAACGTATGAGAGGAAATTCACAATTTATATTAAAATAAAAATATTAAATAATATACTACGTACAACGAATTAAATAACAAATATTACATCAATACAATAAATATTCAATACAAACAAACTGTGCATTGCACGGGTTTCGTCTAATTATTTATATGTAAAAGCTTTTAATTTGATGGATTGGAGTTGAGATTTAGGATATTATTTTAGGTGTAATGATTTTCTTAGCTTGTTATTTTCAACAATAATATTTAGGGGTGTTCAAAAATCGGTCCGGACCGAAAAAATGTCTCAAACAAGACCGGATCAATCTCAGACCGAACCTAATAGTCAGTCCAATCTTGGGTCTAAACATTTATTTTTTCGGTCTTCGGCCCGATCAGGTCCAAAACCCCATAAAAATCGGGATCGGACCGTTTTTTTCTTAAATTTATGCATAAAATCTTAGATAATTGTTAAGATTATTCTTAATAACCTTTGAAAACTTTAATTTATGAGCTTTTTTATACTTACAATACAAAAAAAAAAGACGCTAAAGTAGAGTTTTCCCATAATTTTTTCGAGTTTTCCATAATATTATTTAAAACTTAGCAATAAAATTCTAAAATCGGTCCAAAGTGGTCTGGTTCGGGTTTGAACCGATTTTTCCAATCTGATCCGGGTTCGGTCCGATTTTCTATTTTTAAAATTTAAATTTTCGATCTGGTCCAGGTCGATTCGGTCTTGAACCGACGAACAACCCTAATAATATTCACATAATCACATTTAGTTAGTGGGTGAAAGGTACTCGATCATAATTAATATTGGTGTAAGACCTTTAATTATATTTCTTTTTCAAGATTTCCCCATTAATCATATTAAGCGTTGGCAGCATTATATCACATCATGAGATGACAAAAATAGGGGACAACATACACTACCTCCATTTTAAATTATTTGAAACGTGATACAAAGTTTATGTTTAACCATTATAAATAATTTGAAACGAAAATAATATCTATAATAATATATATGGTCTCAAAATAACCACATACTCCGTAGTTAATCTAGTAGTCCAGTCCTTTAATGTTGTTGGCAGTTTGGGAGTTTGGGGTTTTGTCGTGGACGATGGACTCGCGGATACCCATCATATCCTAGCTAATCAACTGTTGAATTTCCTCCTCATCATTTTGTTAAAGCATGCAATACACAATTTTTTTAAAGTTCTCACATAAAGTGGAATTAGCTTAGGGTGGAAATGAAAGGGACGTAGGGATTATATATAGAATAATCAGTGGTTTATGAAGGTGGATGTAACATGCACATGTTACATCTGTTAAAAAAAAAAAGAAAGAAAGAATATAGTATAGAAATGTAAAAGATATTTAGTTAAAGTGAAAAGAACATGGTATAGAATTGTAAGGAACATATATTTAAAGTGAAAAAGAACATAATGTTACAATATAATGAACGTGATAAAAAAAAACATAAGAGGTATAAAAAAATAGAACATAAAGCTATTAATAACAATGAACTTGACACTATTTTATAAAGACCACACTGCAAAATAATTTTCTTTATCTCCGTGTTATTTGATTGTTAATGTGATAAATTTTTATTAAAGACATAATATTCATTGTTTACTGTGAAATGTTCTTTAAATTTTGTATATAGTCACTATAGATTATAGTGGGTGAATATAAATAATATTATCATGTTCTTTATTAATATTATGGATGTTTTTAGATATACCGAAAAGAAAATAAAGCTAAATGATATTTGTAAAACAACTATATGTGTTCTTTACAAAACAACTGTATTCATTCTGCCTTTTATCAAAATTCTAGATGCCTCTCCACATTTCAAGTATATAAATATAAATATATGAAGAGAGAGAATGTGTAAAATTAAAAAAGTAATAATGTATTTGTGACCAATCACATTCAACTATGGAAAAGCTGAGTTACCAATCGTTAAGGTTACTCTTATCCACTTTTTTTTTTTTGATGCAAGGGCCGTTAACTCTTATCATTTCTTATAGCTATACTCTTATTTTCACAACCTTCAATATGGACTACTGAAAATTGCTGAGCTCATAATATCTCACATGTGACTGTACTACATTAAATTAATAACTAATATATATATATATAGGGATGTCAATGGGGCGGGGCGGGGCGGATGTTGACCTTCCCATCCCCATCCCCACCTAACATTTTCATCCCCATCCCCATCCCCGCGGCGGGTCTAATATTCATCCCCATCCCCGCCCCGGCGGGTACAATTCCAAAACCATCCCCGCCCCACCCCCCCACTTGGATATCCATCCCCGCCTAATCCCCACCGAATACCCGCCTAATCCCCACCCAAGACCCACCAAATTTTCGTGTCTCAAATACACAATCCTACATAATTAATACGGATTATAATATTAAAAAAAAAATTCTTAATATTACACACATTTTTTGTTTATAATATAAGTGTAGTACAAATATTATAATTAATATTTACTTCACGTAATTATTTTATAAAATAATATAAAAGTATATAGATGTGGGTATGGGGTGGAGATGGGGCGGGTACGAAGTGGGGCGGGGCGGGGATGGGGCGGGTACAACTTAAAATCCACCCCCGCCCCATCACCCATGGCGGATATCGTTTTCATCCCCATCCCCGCCCCACCACCCGCCAAACCGAGACCCATCCCCGCCCCACTGGGGCGGGGATGGGGCGGGTCTCCTACTTGACCCGCCCCACTGACATCCCTATATATATATAAAGTATGTCGACTATTCGATATGAAATATAAGGGTGTTCAAAAAAACCCGACCCGATTGTCCCGTCCCGATTTCCCGATGACCCGGTAAATACCCGATTGTCCCGAATATAAAGTGATCTCGACTATTCGATATGAAATATAGGGGTGTTAAAAAAAACCCGATCCGATTGTCCCGTCCCGATTTCCCGATGACCCGGTAAATACCCGACGGGAAATTTGGGAAAATAAAAGGTTTTTTCGGGTCGGGTACCCGACCCGGGAAAATTGTCAGTTAATCGGGTCGGGACATGGGCCGCACTATTTAATTCTCGGGTACCCGGTTACCCGACAATAAATTAAATTTTTTTTTTAAAAAAAAAACACCCTCCCTCAAACTAAGCCCATCCCATTCAGTTTGCAATTAGGGTTCCTCATCAAACGCCTCTCCTGCCTTTCTCTCTCATCAAGCGCCTCTCTATCTCTCTTCCTCTCTTGCTCTTCCTCTCTCTCTCCTTCCTGCCTTGAGTTCCTTCATGGGTCTGCTTCCTGCCTTTCTCTCTCTCTTCCTGCCTTGAGTTCCTTCACGGACAGCGGCACAAGCACAACCGCGAGATAGAACTCTCATCGCAGCGGCACAATTGCACAACCACGTGAGACAGCGAGTATAGTACGAGCTTTGATTTCGCTTTTAGTTTTGAATTCGAAAGCTTAATTACTGTTTGGTTGTTACAATTTATACAAATGCTGCCATTTTGAAGTTTGGGTGAAGAAAACTAGGAATCCGATTAAGAATGAGACAATACAAGCTTGATAATTTGTTGTTAATGGTGTAGTGGTGTTTTATGACTTTTGTCTTTGTTTATCTAATTGAGTATGTAGCAGAACATGTTCAGTTGTTCACGCGACTCAGTGCTTCGAGTTCCTTCACGCACTACAATATGGAAATCTGGAATTTTTTTTAAAATGCAGCAGTTTTAAAAATTAAATTACAGAAGTTTTTTTTATTGCTATTTTTTTTTATAAAAAAAAAAAGAAATTCGGGTACCCTATGTCCCGACCCGAATAATTCGGGTACCCGGATTCTGGGTATCCGAAAAATTCGGGTCGGGACATGGGACGAATTAACCATTACCCGAAACTCCGGGTACCCGGATTTGAACACCCCTAATGAAATATGTTTGAAATTATAGTTCAAGGATAGATGAATCAAGTATAACTTTCTGATCGTAATTGGCGGAAATCCGCTTTGCTCTGCTCTGCCCTGTTGTGCTCTGCTCCACTGTGTGTGGAAGCCTAGCCCTACTCTGCTCTGTTATGTCCTGCTCTGCTCTGCTCTGCCCTACTATGCTCAGAAGTTCAAAAGAACAGGGCCTGAAATCGGTTTTGGGAACGGCCTGAAATCGGTTTTGTCAAAATTTAGTTCAAGCTTAGTTCTACTATAAATAATTGTACAGAGTAATTAAGATTACAATTGTAATTTCAGTTTTCCCTCCACGTACTTTAGTTTCATTAAATACCATATACTCCCTTTATTTCTAAATTACATTCTCAATTCTCCTTATTATGTGAGAAATAAATACTAGAAGTAGGAATATAATTTAGAAACGGAAGAGTACTTGACTACAAAGCAGTTAATGTATAGATACAATTATGAATGAGTATTGTATTTTTCAACTTTAAATTAATGGTAGATAAATTATAAAGAGTAAATTTGTACGGAGTATTAAAGAAGCATATTTAATCTCAGCATCCATATTGGGGTCATCATAATTAACTCCGAGCTTTAATAAGATGGGGTACGTCGTAGTTCGTCATTATAATAATTCATGACTTTCGTTCATAACATCCCTATAAAAGGGGATGAACCACTCATATTGTATACAACTATTAGCATAGATTGCATATATATGTTAGTAAAGCAAGAATAATTGAAATAAGAATATGAGTCTTAAGCGTAAGTTAGAGGGTGAGATCGAGATAAGAGCTAGTGCAGGAGATGTGTACCATGAAATATATGAGAGTAAACCTCATCATGTTTCCCATGCTTCTCCTCATTTCGTAGAAAGCTGTGATTTGCATGAGGGTGAGCTTGGTAAGCCTGGCTCCATCATTGTTTGGAACCACAAAATAGGTCAGTATTTTCTAGACTTTGTTTCTAATGCACTAATACTAAAGTTTTATTTTGCTTTTATCACGTGAAAATTTTTGGGGTGGGTTCTCTTCAACTCATTTTGACTTGGATCTTATTTTTTTGGGATTTGATTTGGTTTTATCACTTGTAAGCATAAAATCAAAACTTATAAGATCTAATAAGATTTGAACAATTCAGACCAATTCTGAACATAAATAAAGAGAACACATTCTTGATCTATTTCGATCAAAGAACATCTATACACCAACGAGGATTGTAATAAGTTTACAATAGGGGTGTCATTTAGCCCAAATCTAATCCGATCAAAAATAAATTCCGGTTTTCATTGATCAAATCTAATCCGATCCGAATTCCTAACCAAATCCAATATGAAAGTCCGAATAAAAATACGTTGCAAATTTTTTTGGGGCCTAGTACGGTTATAAAATTAAAAATGCAATGATAAAAACTCATTCCTCGAAAAGTATAGTTGTACGTGATTGATACAAGTATTGAAAATATAACTTTTGATGATTAATATTAACATAATTATAAACATAGTTTTACGTGATTAATATTAACAATACTCATTTATAATATAACGATTTATGTTTCGGATATTTCTATTTTTTGGATCCGAACAAGGTTAGTCTGATCCGATCCAAAAATCCGAATTTTCAAAAAATCAATTCGACCCAATCTGATTTAAAGTTCGAATCCAATCCGAATTTATAATTTGGTTTGAATTGGATTAGATTTTGATTTTAATCCGAATAAAGAACACCCTAAGTTTGCATCATGAGATATCCGATATAATTATTGATAGAGCATTAATGTTAATTTGAGTCTCAACTAATTAAAAGTTTAAGCATTTAGTTGAGATGGTTCGTTGATAGTAAACTGATATTTGTTGGACTTTGTATATACTTACTTTGTTATTTTTTTACTAGCAACACTTTGCTTTTCATTCTCGTCGATATATTATTTCAATCGTTATTATCTTTATCGTGAATATGTAAATATCATATAAACATTAAATATTAAAATAGTATAAATCGAGATGAATCTAACAAGCAAGATCGCACGTGAGTGCATTTTATTTAACCATATTTCACTAAATCTAGTTAATAAAGTGAAGTACATGAACAATTATGTAAAAGTCAAACTGTTACAACTTAAAAAAAAAATAATAACGAAGGAAGTATAACTTATTAAATTTTGTAAAATTGTACTTCCTCCGTTCTATTAATATTGCAACAAGGAGGAAATTACGCATCCCTATGCACATTTTATATGCTAAATATCTATAATTGTGTAAGAGTAAAAATTATAAAAAATTGATATTGTGAAAGTATTTTATGACACGAATCCAACAAGATCCACATGACTATATTTTGCTTAACGTATAAATCATATTATATGGTCAAACTAGAGTGATGAATAGTGCAAAAAGTCCATTATTGCAATATTAACAGAACGGAGAAAGTATAACTTTGAAACTTTCTTTTTTCATAAAAAAGACCTTCCTTACATTTTGTAATAAAAAAAGTATGGTCATATAGTAACTCTGTATTGATGATTATACATTTACCTATATCTTTCCATTTTGTTATGTTCATATGTAGATGGAAAACCCCTTAGAGCAAAGAATATAATTGAAGAGATAGACAAGGAGAAGAAGTTGGTGAGGCAAAGATGTTTCGAAGGTGATTTGATGAACGAGTATAAGACCATCACTGGAACATGTCAAGTGATACCTAAAGACAGTGAAACCTGCATAGTGAAGTGGATTTTCGAGTACGAGAAACTCCATCCTGGTGTCCCTGAACCAACAGCTTTGCTCGATAACTTGCTTGCCGCTGCCAAAGACATCGATGATCATCATCACGGCATAAAGAAGTAAAAAAATGTATATGATTTAGGGTGTTGTTATGTTATAATTCACCCCTAGCTTTCGTGTGCTATTTATTGCTTCTAATATATGTTGTTTCATTGAGTAGCTAAACTAAATAAGGCTTGTATTATCTGCATGAATGAGTATGTATCTATGTAAAAGATGTATGAGCACATCTTAGAATACATGATGTGTATGTATTCTAAGATGATATATATAAAAAAAATTAATTTGAGATCGAAAACCTAAGCTCTGATACCATGTTAGATTTCGGGAAAACTCCTCAGATTGGAGTGTGCACCATTGATTATAATATATAGAGGTTTACAAGAGTCGTAATCCTATTATGATAAGGATACGAGGTATAACAAAATATATACAAAATTATCCTAATCTACGACAAATATTATCGTAAATATAATATATATATATATATGTTTATATATATATATATATATATATGTATATATATATATGTATATATATATATATATGTATGTATGTATATATATATATATGTATATATATGTATGTATGTATTCTAAGATGCATGAGCACATCTTAGAAAACTTCGTAGTAAGATGTATGAGCACATCTTAGTACGAAGTATTTATGTAATATTTGTATGGGCACATCTTATTATTTATGTAATATTTGTGTAGGCACATCTGAATTGTTACATGGTTATCCTCATAAATTATTATTTTGGTCATGATACATTATTCTCCTCGTGAGGAGGGGTTTCTAAATTTTTCAAAAAGTAAAAAAAAAAAATAATAAAAAAAATAATGGCTTTACTTTTCCATGTGTTATGCATTAAACATCTACTGTAACACCTAATAATGACATATTGAAATGCTAGCGTTGCATGCAATTCCAATCCTCGTTGAATATTTTTTTGGTTAAGTCCCACCACTCTTCGAATTTCCGACTAATGATTTACATTTTCGGCGTTGGCTAGCATGTGTACCTCACGTGACCTACTTAACTCCACTTTTGTTTTATTTTCCCCCCTTTTCCCTCTATTCATTCCCCTCTTCGTAACTCCTCTGCTTCAACCAGTTATAGGGAGTGGTGAGACTTAACAAAAAAATTTCAAAAACAGGTGTGCTTTGATAATTTCTGGCCAGTAATTAATTTGTTTTCAATTCCAATTCAAGGGGTCATGAAAATAATTTTTATTTTTTTTTAAAAAAAAAAAATCAAGAAATATATATATATATATATATATATATATATATATATTTTAAAAAAACAAAATCAAGAATATCCAAAAAAACATCATCTTTTTTTCTTTTCTTTCTTTTCTTTATTGGGGGCTTAATTGTTAAATACATAGAACAAGATCAATCATTATTATTAAATGGTCCATATTTAAAGTTATTATATAGTGGCTACTTTATGTAAATTGATTAACCATCACATAATAATCCTAATTTCATCCTCAACTTTACTATAAAAAGATCTAGAACGGTATACTAATTAATATGTGAACGAATATATAAATTTGTTAGTATAAATTGCAAATCATAATCAAGTAAGAATTATTCAACTAAAAAGATGAGTCTTAAGCGTAAGCTAGAGGGCGAAGTAGAGATAAGAGCAGGCGCAGGAGATGTGTACCATGAAATATATGAGAGTAGACCTCACCATGTATCTCATGCTGCTCCTCATTTCGTTGAAAGTTGTGATGTGGTTGAGGGTGAATTTGGTAAGCCTGGCTCTATCATCCTTTGGAAGTACAAAACAGGTATAACTACTAAATTGACTACTTTTCGTTATACTCTTAATTATTTATAGGAAAAATTGTGAAGAACGTCTTTTAAGTAGATCTTTTTGTGACAAAGGTCTCTTATAAAAAAAAAGTGGCATAAAAGGTCCTTATATCATGTTTGGGTCGTGAGGAGGGTCCTTTGATCATTTTTCCGACATTGACTTTTTTATTTTCCGGCCAAAAAAAGCCACGTGTAAAGCACGTGACTTATTAAGTTTCTTTTTTTTTCCCCCTATTTTCTCTCATTGTGGGGAGGATTAGCCTTGAATTACTTTGAATAGCCTTCAATTTTAATTTATTGGATTACAATTGAAGTTTTAATGTTAATTATTGTTTTCAGAAATCAGGGTTTAATAGGGGGAAAAAAGGGAAAACGAGGGAAAAAAGGAGGGAGAAAAAAGGGAATTTAGATCTGACTTTTTTTGCCAGAAAATAAAAAAATCAACGCCGGAAAATGGTCAAAGGACCCTTCTCACAACCTAAACATGATATAAGGACCTTTTGTGCCACATTTTTTATAAAAGGATCTTTGTCACAAAAAGGTCTACTTAAAATCACCTTCCTCACAAATTTTTCATATTTATATTTGGTTATTACAATTTTTTGTATGTGGCTAGCCACATGGTGCGGCAAGGGTTACTTGTAGGGTGTTACTGGTTTTGTCAGGGGTTACTTGTAGGCGTTACTTGTATATTGGGGTTACTTGTATGGGTGTTACTGGTTTTGGTCGGAGTTACTTATAGGGTACGGTGTTACTAGTTTTGTTAGGGGTTACTTGTAGGTGTTACTTGTATTCTGGAGTTACTTGTATGGGTGTTACTGGTTTTGGTCGGGGTTACTTCTAGGGTGTTACTGGTTTTGCCAGGTGTTACTTGTATTTTAGGGTTACTTGTATGTCTGTTATTAGTTTTGATCGGGGGTTACTTGTAGAATGTTACTTGTTTGGTATGGGATTTTGGTTTGGAGTTACTTATAATACAAGTAATACATAGAAGTAACCCACGATACAAGTAACCCATACAAGTAACTTCATAATACAAGTAACACCCTACAAGTAACCCCAGAATACAAGTAACCCTAAAATACAAGTAACTGCGCCGTACCATGTGGCTTGCCGCACTGAAAAACCTCTGTTATTATGAAGTTATCACTAGTAAAGTTATGCCAAAAGATATACTTGTATATCACAATACTTGCAACAATTGAATATTTTACCTCTTAGGGAGTAAATAATACTAATATTACCAAAATATATTTTAACTCCTTATACTCTGTATAAACAATAAAAAAAACAATAATTTATTATGATAGTCATATTTCAAACGACTACTATAGAATTTTTAGATATAGAGAGGCATTAAACTTATTAGCCCGCTAACACGCTTATGTTTCTCGTTTTGGTTATCATGATAGGTGGAAAACCTCTTGTAGCAAAAATTTTAGTTGAAGAAATTGACAAGGAGAAGAAATTAGTGAAGCATAAATGTATTGAAGGTGATATGCTAGATGATTACAAGACCATTTCCGGAACAGGCCAGGTGATACCTAAGGACAGCGTAACGAGCATCGTGAGGTGGACACTCGAATACGAAAAACTCCATCCCGGTGCCCCTGAACCAACTGCTTTGCTTGATCACATGCTTAATGCTGCCAAAGACATCGATGATCATCACCATGGAATTAAGAAGTAAACTATACAGTTGATTTGTAATACATACATGTCTTAAAGTAAAGTATATTTTGTGCATAATAAGGCTTTTACGTCATAAGTCATCCGTTATGTAAACGTGTTTGCCTTGTGGTACCAAGATGTATGCTATAATTATTGTTGCTTGGAATAATTTGCTTCATAAATCATGTACCGCGGCCACTACTTGGTGTGTATTTATACAACAATGTGTTTTGTGTGTGTCTAAGTCAGACCATGCGGCCAAGTAACACATGAGTAACCCCTGATTAGCTACCTCATGATCAAATATTTTCTGACTGACCGAGTAACCTTTGACTGAGTGAGTAACCTCTGACCGAGTGAGTAACCCCTCGCCAAGTGAATAACCCCTGCCTGACTGACCAACCCATGACCAAGTAATCTTGACTATTCTTTAAAAAAAATTGTGGTTGGCTACACGATGTGACTAACCACATATGAGAGTTTTTATTTGTGCAATAATTATATAATAATACCCTTTTTTATATATATATATATATATATTTTATTTTTTGTAAGTGAGCCACAAGGCCCCAATGGAAAGTACTAAATACATTACAATTGGGATGAGGGATTCCATCCAGTGACCTATCATTTACATGACCTCAATTTTAACCGTTAGGCCAAGATAGACATTATATGTATGTGTGTTATAATGACGTCAAATTTTTTTCTTAGTTGTGCACATTGGTCCAAGCAAGCCAACTTTGGTCACTTACCTTTTGTTAAAGATATGAGATATGTGTAATATATTTTCCGTGGATATCATTTAGAGAATAATATTTAGGAAATTTTGTTAGAAAAAACCTTTTAAAACAACATTTTTGTTGGGAAAAACCTTTTAAATTTTTTTGGCAACTAGAAACTAAATTTTTTTTTTAGTTCAAAATAACGAAGATTCACATTCTGACATTGACTTGATCATTTCCGGTGTTGACCCCCTATGTGCAGGTCACATAACCTATTTTTTACTAATCCCATCCTTTTTTTAATTTTCCCCCAATTTCCCTCTAACCTCTATTTTTTTAATCTTCCCCTTTTTCTTCTAATTTCCCCCCATCTTTTCTCTCCTGTCTTACTAGCTAGGTTGTTTTCTTAAGCATGGTAATTTAAATAAATTGTAGTAATTGTTTTTGGAAATTAATTTGAACCAAGGATACACTTAAATTATTCTGTAATTGTTACCCACTTCATCAATTTTGGAGCTATTTGAATATTTAGGGATTTTTTGACCCTTTTTAATTTGCACTAACAACATCTATTTAACTCAATTGTGTAGCATTCATGGCTCCATTCAAATATCTGGGTTTATGTATAACTTTGTAGGTTGCCCTTAGCTTCATAGAACATGATGCAACTCCTTTCCTTCTTAGCTTCCTTCTTTTTGTTCTTACCCATGGCAGAGCAATTGTAGCAAAATTTCAGAAAACAACACCCAAAAAAGAAAAAAAAACATCATTTAAATACAATAAATTAATTACACTTGCTTACTATTTAGGGTAGGTGTAAATTAACTTCACTTCATATCTTCATTGATTAATTTGCATGTTTAGGGTGAAGCCATGGAAGAGAATGGGTTGAAGATGATTTATTATCTCGGTTTTGAATAGAATAGAGAGAAGATGGGGGACAATTAGAGAAAAGGGGAAATATTAAAAACAATTGAGGTTAGAGTGAAATTAGGGGGGAATTAGAAGAAAAGGGGCGGGGTTAGTAAAAAAACAAAAAGGTCATGTGACCTACACATGGGGGTCAATACTGGAAATAACCAAGTCAATGCCGGAATGTGAGCCTTGGTTGTCTTGAATAAAAAAAATTTACAATTTGGTTTCTAGTTGCCAAGATTTTTTTAAAGGTATTTTCCCAACAAAAAAGTAGCTTGAAAAGGTGTAACCACACAAAATTTCCTAATATTTATGTTTTAAATATATCTTTAGGTTTATGGTTATGTTAGTACATCATTTAGGAAGATTATTTCCTATCTTATGAGCATATGTTTTGTATAAATACACTACCTATTGAAGAATAATGAAAAAACCATTCCATTTGATCGTTTCCCAAATTTGTCAACTTTCATTCTTGGACTTAATTCTAGTTTAGTTCAGTCCAATTTATTTAACGGAAATTTCACCAAATACCCCTGAGTTATTTTTTTATTCACCAAATACCCATCAAAAATTCTAAATTAACCAAATACTCCTGAGTTTAAGAAAAATGTCACCAAATGTCTTTAATGACTAATAACGGTTAACACCATTAGTCATTAATAACTAATATGCCATGTGGCAACCTCTAATTGGTTGTTGTAATATTAGTTAATTAATTATTAAAAAAACATTCAAAAATAAAAAAAAAATACCCAAGACCCACCCCAACGCCCCACCACCAGCCCCTGCCAGACAGCGACGGCCGCCAGATCCCACCCCTCCCCCTGCGCTAGTGGTCTCTATTCGCCGGCGAGGCCAGCCCCCCACCCTCAACACCCCTCCCCTACCCCCAGCCCCTTCTCCCTCCGTTTCCCCTCCCCTTAAACCCCTCCCCATCCCTCGAAAAATCCCCCCTCCTTTGCGGCCGGCGTCCAAACCCCCCTCCCCGGCGCCAGCGAACCTTTTTCGCCCCACCCCCCGCCATCCCCACCCCCACCCCCACCCCCTTTCCTCCCTAAACCCCCACCCAAAAAAACCGAAAACCTTCTTAATCGAAAAAAAGATCTAGGGTTCTTTCGATTAAGGGGTTTTTTGGTTTTTTTTGGGTGGTGGTTTAGGGAGGAATTGAAAGGGGGTGGGGATGGCGGGGGGTGGGGTGAAAAAGGTTTGCTGGCGCCAGGGGGGGTTTAGACGCCGGCCGCGAAGGAGGGTGATTTTTCGAGGGATGGGGAGGGGTTTAAGGGGAGGGGAAACGGAGGGAGAAGGGGTTGGTGGTAGGGTGGGGGGGTGTCGAGGGTGGGGGGGGGGTTGGCCTTGCCGGCGGATAGGGACCACCAACACCGGTTCCGGCTAGAGTATTTACACCATGTTTGTTTGAGGAAAATAAAAATGGCGTAATAGAGTATTTAATTATGTTCACACTACAAATACCAAATTACTCTAGGGATATTTAAGGTTTAGATTATGTTCCCAATAATCATATAGACACTTTTGTATTTATATTTATCTTTCCTTTTTTATCAATACCAAAACAATTGTACAAAGTATGTGCTAATGATCATGCGAAAATAAAAATTAAGATGCATACAATCATTGAATTCAACAATTTGCTGCAAAACATGTAATAGAGAGATATATGCTACAAGCAATACATCAAGGGCCATATATACCCTTTTTTTATTATCACATTAAACTTAAAAATAATTATATTGGACATTGAAATCAATTCGGAGCTTAGAATATAGGATTAGCTTAAGATAGATGGAAATTAAGCTGTGCCAAAAATTCGCTTCATCCGTATAACTTCCTTATGACTTAAGAGTGTGATTTTTTGGGCAATATCAGCAGGTAAATTCCCAGCAAATAAAGTGGTAGGAGTGAGTTGTATTGCTGGGTTAGCACCATTCAAACTAACAAAGGCAGTAGCCGGAGTTTTGCCAACGTTGATTTGGAAGTGAAGCATGGCTTGTGGAAACACCATTACATCACCAACCTCTAATATTTTGTAGTAAGCAGTATTGTTTGTATCAATAAATCCTGCAATAATTGAACCTTTTACCAAAATAAGAACTTCAGAGGTACGATGGGAATGTATTGGGATCACTCCTCCTACGCCAAAGTCTAACCTAGCCATAGATATGCCTAAACCATTAAAGGCTGGGAACTTATCTGAAAATACTGACGTCACATTGTTTCCGAAAACATTATTGGGAGTTTTTTCACCACGAAAACCTGTGAAAACAAAATCATCAGTTGTGACTTTATCAGGATCCTTACAAGCATATCCTTGAGGCCCTCTAGGAAGGCTAGGGTCACCAACACAAAAGTCGAGCTCTATGGCATGTGACAGGGAGGCTAAGACACAAAAGATGATGAAAATTGAAAGGTTGTTCATTGCGTACAAAATAGGTACGTAGTTGAGAACTTGAGATGGTTGATATATTTTTTTATTTATTTATTGTTTTTAAGGAGATGGTTGATAAATGAGATAAGTTTTGTATTGTAGAATAATTGTATATTCGTGCGGCAATTGACACCCATTATATAGGATTTTGTTGGGCTAGCAAGAAGATAATATAACTCTCTTTCTAAATGATTTTAGACTTGCTTACCAATTGAGAAAGAAGAAATATTTTACATTGGCCGCCGGCATAACCGATTCAACCTTGACTAAATGCATGAGACAAGATTATTTTTCGTAATATTCATGTAGTTGTCAATTCGTCTAACAAAATAAATGTACTAGATGAAAGGCTGTACGACAGTGGCGTAGTCAGGAATTTCGAATTGTGGATTCGGAATCTTAAAAAAAAGATGATCATATATTAATTAAATATTCAATACATAAGTTCAAATTTTTTTAATTACAAATAGATGGATTACACATTTTTTTTTTTAAAAAAAAGCATTTTTCGAGTTTTCATACTTTGAAAGCGTGGTGGTATGTAATAAATTACAAATATTACACATAAAACAAAAATCCCAAGTTCCCAATAAACACAAATTTGACAATGTAAACTTCTTCTAATTATCAAATAGACCAAGTAAATATTTAAAATTCTAAGTTTCTACAATTCAATTTGTCAACAATTCAAGTATTCAACAATATATCAAAACCAATTAAACAAATCAATAATTAATCTAATTATCACTAATTTAAACAAAATTAAACAAACAAATAAAGATTTAAGAATTAAGAGGAGTAGAGGAATAAAAGGACTCACAAACTCACGAAAAACGGAAGAACTTGAAAAAAAAAACAAAAAATGAGGGCGGTTGGAATCAAACCCAGGACCTAAGTCTTTTTACCAAACTAAAATTCTTTTTACTAATTAAAATTTATTTGAATTATTCTCTAATATTTTTTTAAAATAAATTAAATAACAATGCATTTTGTATGCAGCTAACCACATCATCTGGTCGATCTATATATTAGAGTTAATATCATGTCATAAACAGTTTTGTCCAGTCTATAACAATTAATTGCTCTGTTGGATTATTGATTTATAAATGAAATATGTTTCTCAAATGATAAACTTGTTATTAAATACATATTTTTCCACTGTTCTTAGTTATAATCGCTACTTTTTTTTCTTTGACCTAAAGAAAAAATTATTTTACAAAAAAAAAATAGTCAAACAACACTTACAAACAATTCCAATGAAATCTAAAATTCCAACACAAGTAAATAACACCTTATAACTAACTATATCATAGATTCAATTAACAATCACCTTAATTAAAAATCTTCATATGAAGCAATACAATATGTGAATTATGTGAAAAATATTTGATTTGTTCAACATGTTTATCAATAATTCTATAAATTATTGGTTTTTTTTTTTTCCTTAGGTAGTTTAAGTTGCATTATAATTTCGTGTGATTGAGAATTGATCTCAACACTAACTCCACCTATTTAATTAAATATGTTGTGTCATATTGACCCGTTTAATTAAGAGCGTAAAAAACCCTTAACAATTACCCATTTTTTACATCTTTGACTCATATCCTGTTAGGTTTTGCCAACTCTCTTTATCTTAGCAAAGGGAATTGATTTTAGCACACCATTAATTGATATTGGCACACCTTCATGTGAGAAGAGCATAATTAAAAAATTGTGCTCTCATATAGAGTGTGCCAAAATCAACTTATGGTGTGTCAAAATCATTACCCCTAAACAAAATATGGTGTATTGTTGGCTAGACTTCTTTAAAATACCCTCTCGATCTGTCTTAGAATAACTGACATAGTCAAAGTTTATACATATGACAGTGTAATAGTTTGACCTTATTTTTATATAATTAAATATTATGAGTAATAAAAAAATGCTTTAAAAAATTATATTATGAAATTTTATGTTAATATCTATCGAAGTATGTTTTATTATGCATGTTTATAAAAAATTTATATTCAAAGTTAATGTATGAATGGTGAAAAAAAAGTTCAATGTCTCAGTCATTGTGGGATTGAGGGAATAATGAAATATATTGTTTAGCCTTTAAGATTCCATGAAAGTTACATTTAATTCGAAGGAGGACCAAAATGCATGATCAAGCTGTTAACATCTCGAATGTTTTGAATCTAATCCAATAATTGTATCATCGTCACCTGGTGACGCTTACCAAATGTAAGAGGAATCTCAACGTTCACATTTTTAGGGCTGCGAGTATAAGGCCAATCATGTCACTCGCATTTCACCAAACTTTATTAACGCTAGTCGAACCTTGTTAGTCACAAATTTTGCTTACAACCTCCGATCTTTATTATTTATAACTTTGAAATATTTTATATCTCACAAATAGTACCCAAAAATTGCATATAATAAAAATTGGAGTTAGTAAAAATGTTACTCATATAAATTTTAACTAGTATTTTGACTTGGCCATTAACGATAAGATGGTTGGATAAAAATGTATGTAAACATTTATTTTATATGGTAAGCTATGGGGAGGGCCCCCCACCCTATCACAAGAATGAGGGGTTGAATGAGGAATCAAACCTCCAATCATACGGGGGGAGATGGAGGAACTAACTATCCCCCCATTTCCTCATATCTCATCTGTAATGGAGGAATAAACTATCCCCCATCTCCGTATTAGGGAAAGGAGGAGAGTATGTGATAAAAAAGCAGTTGGTTCCGGGGCAACAAGATTGAGATTTTTCGTACTCGAGTGTCCATCTCACTATACTCGTTTCGCAGCCACCCTTAGGTATCACCTGGCCTGTTCCGGAAATGGTCTTGTAATCATGCACCATTTCATCTTCAATACATTTATGCTTCACTAATTTCTTCTCCTTGCCAATTTCTTCAACTAAAATTTTTGCTACAAGAGGCCTCCCACCTCAATAGCTGGTTCCTACAGGCGCCTGTACGGTGCAACGTACAGTCGTTTTGTAGGAAAGAATTGAACATGATATATAAAAGTAATGAACATATAGTTATAGTGAAAAGAACATACTATTAAAATATAACGAACATATACCTTGAGTGAAAATAACATACCATTGAAATGTAATGAACATATACATAGAGTGAAAAGAACATATTTGCACCAAAATAAAAAAAAATGAATAGAACACATGTTTTTGTTCATTGATTGTCAGTGTAATGTACTTTTATTTGCGACATAATTTTCATTGCTTATTGTGAAATATTTATTGAATTTTGTCTTCAAATTATGGTGGTTAGATAATGTTTATTACATAATATTATCATATCATTTATTAATATTACTGATGCTCTTTAAATATGAAAAAAATATATAAAATTGGACGTTCATTACAAAACAACTATATGTTCTTTACAAATTAACTGTATGTTCGTTACAAAATAGTTACATGTTCTTTTTGGGTTTTTTGGCTATACCAAGCAAGGTATAGCCGCCTGCACCTTAAAATTTTCACTCCCACCTATCATGATAACCAAAACGAGGAACATATAATTATGTTACCACATTAATAGGTTTCATACAACTTTTTTTTATTAGGTAGTTTCTTATAAAATTTAGGTTTTACTAGCTAGTTACTCACAATAAGACCTATAATATATAATAGGAAAAAGTAAAAATAATAGTCTCAATCTTTATCAATTTTGGTAGAATAATCCCAACTTTGGATTATACTGGAATAATCTGAACTTTAGGGAGTCTGTTTTTTTTTCCTCAATCCCTAATCGGTCAACAAAATTTAATGACCTACTATATCAGGTCACTTGACATGTGTCAAGCCCTGATTGGTAAAAAAAACCAAAAAATCTGAAAAACCAAACCAACCTCCACCATCCCACATTCCCACCTTAACGTCCACCAACACAGCCAAGCCCGCTGCCCTTTCCCTCGCCAAAACGCCGCATCTCCGCCCCCAACCTTGCGTCGCCGTTTTCCCCCCTCCCCGAAACCCCCTTATATTCCTTCCACGCAACTATCGAAACCCCAAAATCGCAACCACTGTACGACCACAATCACAGCCACGAATCTCCAAAATTGCAGCCACCAACCACGAAAACGGAGGTTTCAGAGGAGGGTAAGGTGTACTTGTTTTTGGAGAATAGGGAAGGGTTTCAACGGAGGTTCACGATCGGCTAGCATACAAGTGGTCGGTTTTCATGGCTGGCGTCAATTGAGAGGAGAGAGAAAATGAAAAGGGGTTTTGTGGCGAATTAGCCGGCTGGAGTTGGGGAAATGGTTGGCGATGGAGGAGATAAATTTTCTTGAGGAAAACCGGTGCATTTGGGCTGCCGGACGGGCGTCATGGGTTGGTTGGCCGGTTTCTTGGCTGGTGGCTGGCGTCAAGCTTTTCTGATTTTTTTTTTATTTTTATATTTTGTTTTTAACTTTTTTAAACAAATTAACTTGTGACATATGTCACTTTTTAAAAAAAAAAAAAATTAACCCGTTCTACCAGTTACCGGTTTTTGGGATTGGAGAAAAAGAGGAAGCCTCAAAGTTAGGATTATTATTAGAAATAATAATCCCAACTTTCATCAATTTTACTAGAATAATTCAAAGTTAGGATTATTCTAGTAAAATTGATGAAAGTTGGGATTATTATTTCTAATTTTCCTATATAATATCAGCATAATACACTATTATTATTATTACTACAGTGTATTATAATATTTGTTCTTCCATATTACACGCGTGTTTGCTTTTTATTGCAGCTATAATTGTTGCATGGAATAAGTTGCTTCATAAATAGTCGTGTACCACGTTTGCGACCACTACTTGGTATGTATTTGACTATTTGTGCAATAATTATATAATAGGAAAAATACAGTTTAATAATCCCAAATTTGCCCAATTTACTTTCAATAATCTCAATTATCGATTATTCTGCTATAATCCCAACTTTCACATGCATTTTCTTTTATCAATCCCAAACAAAGATCAACCACTCTTTACTCTAGGTTACCTTACACGTATCAACACATTGGCCCTTCTCCTAGCTAACCCCCGAACCACCCCCTCCCAGCAAACCCCTACCATTGGATTTCGCCACCGAACAACCACTAACTTGGCAACTTCTTAAACGCACCAATCAGCTGTCACAACCAGCCCTACCCATCTCCAACAACCACCTTCAACCTCTATATTGCTATCCAATCGCAGTCACCACCAACCTC